TTGTAAGTGGCAGGGATGTCAGATTTACAAGCGAATTATGGAAGGCCGCTGCAACTGAACAAGGAACTCAACTGCAAATGACTTCTGGAAACCATCCAGAAGCAAATGGCCAGGCTGAACAGATGAACCGCGCTGTGCAACACGTGTTGAGGCATTACATTAAGCCCAACCAGGTGGACTGGGACGAGAAGCTTGCTCTTGTCGCCAGTCTGTACAATAACGCTGTACACAACACTACCGGGGTAAGTCCTAACAGTCTACATCTTACCTTTAGGCCTAGACTGCCTTTAGACTTCCTACTTCCTGATAACCAGCCAACTGTTACACCGGGCACTTTGGAGTTCGCATATCGTTATGAACAAAAGATGCAGGAGGCTGTAGAGCACATGCAGAAGGCGCAGGCAGCAATGATAGAATCTGAGAATAAACACCGCCGCCCTTCTACATTTCAGGTTGGGGACAGAGTCTGGGTCAAGTCTTCAGAACTGGGACAGAAGTTCGGGATATCCCGCAAACTCATGCCCAAGTTTTAGACGTAGTAGGGACAGATCCTGATGGTCCATCATATGTCATCCGTATCCCTGGTCATCTCATAACGTACCCAATCTTTCACGCCTCTAAGCTCACTGCGTTCGAGGAAACTGATCAGTTTCCCTCTCGTCGATCAATGCTGCCCCCAACCATGGACGGAGAAGTCGACATCGATGATATCGTTGACCACAGGGAGATACCTGTTCAGAAGCCTCCAGGAAGGGGACGTCCTCCAAAGCCAAAGTTGCAGTTCCGAGTCCACTTCAGACATCATACAGATCCGAAGGAAGACCGCTGGTTCACTCGGGAGGAACTGATGCAGACCGCTCCTCAAATCGTTGCCCGCTATGAGAAGGATGTATTAAAAGGAAAGCGCCAGATGGCTGCAGATTGATCTTCGCAGAGGACTAACGAAGCTATGGAGGAGGGAATGCGAGGCTACGCCCGCTTAGCCCCTACGGGGCCCTATCCTGTCTCTTATACACATCTAGATGTGTATAAGAGACAGCATCAAATCGTTGCCCGCTATGAGAAGGATGTATTAAAAGGAAAGCGCCAGATGGCTGCAGATTGATCTTCGCAGAGGACTAACGAAGCTATGGAGGAGGGAATGCGAGGCTACGCCCGCTTAGCCCCTACGGGGCCCTATCTGCAACAAGGTCGGCCGCCCTAAGTGAAGGCAGGCACGACAGGCCCTTCAGGCCTCATTTTTCGGGGTCCCCGCAACGGGGAAATTCAGGCAGTTGCGTTGCGCCAGTTGGTTGAATGAATCCAGGCCCTGGGCCGCCTGTGTAAATGTATGTGAAGCAGGCCCTGGGCTGGATACGGGTACCGGGCCAAACACAGGCCGAAAGCAGTTGGGCGCATGCAACCACTTCCGGCCCAAGGCCTGCTCCCCTGTGACTGGGCCTGTGCCTACCGGGGCCTACCGGAAGCTTCCTGGACTGGACGCAGGCAGGCCACTTCGATATAAGGAAGGGCCTGCCTCCTCATTCGATATTTGGGTGCTGGCTGCATGCTGCGCGAGCGCTGCTGTGCTATTTGCTGCTGGCTGGCACTCACGCTCTCACGGGCGAGCAAGAAGTAGCGGGCAGCCATAGCCGAGCTGCTCCGCTGTGAGCTGGGTGTTACGCAGGGTGGTCCTTGGGTGCCCGTGGCATCTGTGCGGTGTGGATCGGGGTTGTGAGTGTTGCGAGAGACATATCTGGTGCTGGTAGCGTGCGGCATTGTCGTACTTCAGGGAGCTGTTGTTGTCAACATCGGCATTGTAGTATTAGGCTAGATAGGATCTGCCACATGTAGTCTTGGCGCCGAGCGCCAATAGGATATCAACTCTTGTTCTTCGTTGATGATGATGAGATATTATTTCAGCATTGTCAATTGCGAACTATTGGTGTGTCTTATTTGGTGGATCTCGTGATGCATGTCTGCTGTTGGTTCGAGATCAAAACTATCTGGGCTCGTATGTATGATGCTGTATGATTGCTGGAGTTCGCTAATGCTCATCTTCCTTGCACTAACCATGCAGCCATGCAAAAAAAAAAAAAACATGCACTGGCATGCAGCCATGCATGGACAGATTAAACTTCCCTATCTAGTATCTAGCCATTTCACAGTCAGTCAAGTTGAGTAGTCCGTCACTCTAGCTAATGGAAGTAGGAAAAGGATCATCCAGCACCGAATGAATGCATGCAAGACAGACAACAGCCCAACTGTGACTTGCAGATTTACGTAGACCCCCTTGTTTCCTAATTTAAAATTAGCCCTAAAGTTAACTAACCATGCAGCCATGCAAAAAAAAAAAACATGCACTGGCATGCAGCCATGCATGGACAGAGTAAACTTCCCTATCTAGTATCTAGCCATTTCACAGTCAGTCAAGTTGAGTAGTCCGTCACTCTAGCTAATGGAAGTAGGAAAAGTATCACCCGGCACCGAATGAATGCATGCAAGACAGACAACAGCCCAACTGTGACTTGCACATTTACGTAGACCCCCTTCTTTCCTAATTTAAAATTAGCCCTAAAGTTAACTAACCATGCAGCCCTGCAAAAAAAAAAGAAAAAAAAAAAAAGAAACATGCACTGTCATGCAGCCATGCATGGACAGGGTAAATTTCCCTATCTAGTATCTAGCCATTTCACAGTCAGTCGAGTTGAGTAGTCCGTCACTCTAGCTAATGGAAGTAGGAAAAGGATCATCCGGCACCGAATGAATGCATGCAAGACAGGGATAAGCAGTAGACACAAATCGAGCTTCTCTGCTGGAACCACCCTCTTTCTATATCGCCCTTGATTGTCACTTACGCATGACATCGCTGACGCGAATCTGAAAAGCAGCAGTGCTTACGCGTGACCATCGCCTCACCCCTGTGCCCAAGCAGAATGCCGCTGAACAGTCCAGACGGCAACTTATTTTAGGTCGCATGCAGTATGACCAAGGAACCCCGCCGAGTACCTTTAACGGCGGTCTGGCGCACACCGTACCCCCAACGGACTGGCCTGACAGCACCTACTTCTATGTGCAGCAAGAGCATAAGGACTTCAGCACGAGCATGCATGTGCTACTCGCAATGGATTGACTTTCGGTGTGACCCAGTGCTTCGTCCACCCAGGGCTCGTCACAAGCACCGCCCTTCTCCCACCAGATTTCGCCAGAAGGCTGTCTTTTCTCAAGGTAGAGCGCACTCTCGCTCCTCGCCAATTGAGGACTCTCAAGATGAGACCCACTTCCTCACGGTAAGAAGTAGCAAGGAGGGTAGGTAAGGTTAGAGACAACATACCTGACAATAGCTGCCCCCAACCACAGATTTCTCACCGTCAGTGATTACGTGCATTACGTTAACCGCTCGATAGCATTGGAACCACAGACATTACAATGTGAGTGCCTCCTTTGGCGAGTGCCTCATCATCTCGTTCAAATCATCAAGCATGCACCCAATATATTTCCGATAAGCCTCCGGCCACACCCCTCTCTTCCCGGGGGCTGGCCAATCACCCGACTGCACGATTGCACTTACACTGACCAGGAACCACTTCCCGTGCACCGAAGAAGACAAAAAGCACCGGAGCCAGAGGAGTGAGCCTACAAACCAGCTCCGATACCAAATTCCAAGGATCATGAGCAGAGCGAATGACAGAAACCAAATAGCATCATTCCATTGAAAAGCACAATAATCATGGGCTCGAACTGAAAGCAGAATGCAACGCGAAATGCACCAAATAGGAGCAAAGCAATGAAGTCAGTTGACAATGAATGCCCGCTTCTCGCCTCCACCATAAATGCCCCCAATGTCAGTCCTCGCCATGCTGCTCTGCGCCCGGACTACGATCAGACGACCCTACCACCTAGCCTCTAATGACACAACAGCTCTTCAACAGCTCTTGATGAAAACAGCAGCCCGATGACAAATGAAGCTCGAGTCCGACTATGGCGGCCCGGTGATCACCATCAGGTAGGCCCCCACATGCAACCCTCATCTCCCTAACTTCCCACCACATTGTCCCATCACCCAAGGACCACCGCTTGAACCTCCCTGGCTATGGCGCAGGCAGCCTGGCTATGGCTGCCCTGCGTACTGGATGCGTCCAGGCAGCTTCTTCCTCGTGCCTCGTGCCAGCACCCTTCCCCACTGCTGACCGGTGCCCGACCAGTGCACCACGAGCTAGTGCTCCAGCAGAGCTGCCGCCGCCCAGCCAGCCAGCATGAATGAGGAGGGTAAGTACCTGTCTCTTATACACATCTAGATGTGTATAAGAGACAGCGTCCAGGCAGCTTCTTCCTCGTGCCTCGTGCCAGCACCCTTCCCCACTGCTGACCGGTGCCCGACCAGTGCACCACGAGCTAGTGCTCCAGCAGAGCTGCCGCCGCCCAGCCAGCCAGCATGAATGAGGAGGGTAAGTACCGGCCCTGAGGACCTCCCAAACAAACGAGTACCCTGGCAGGTCACACACACACTCAGGCAGACATGCACTCAGACAGGCACACGGAAACCAGCAAGCACGCACACACACAGACTTAGAAATCTCAGCAAAAGCTGGGAATCTCTGCAAAGCACACATTCCAGAGAGAAAAAAGAGTGAAAAAAAAGGGACCTTGCACACAGATTTTTTTTTTTTTTTTTTTAATGTTCTATTTTGAATCTTTGATTGTTTAAATTCTTATAAAAAAAAAAAAAAAAAAAACTAAAGGTGGGGCCCAGCGCCAGCTGGAAAACGGCTCCAGCATCCCATACAAATTTATTTAATATTTCCAAATTTCCATTGTATTTGTTATTTAACTTATTCACTTTTATAAAAGTCTTATTTTTTAACCCCCCAGCGCTTTCACGGATCACACCCATTAATCGAGAAATGGACCCAAAGAAACTGGCAAATATAATTGAAATTTGAAATGTAATAAATATTCCCTTTTTTTTTTTAAACGATCGAGGCAGAGGGGAACACTCAAGGCGAGGACAATAAAATTACTTCGAAGCTTCTCCAGGTCTTGACGGAAGTCAGAAAATGATATCCTCCCTGGGCCAGTGCCAAATGATCTGCAAAGTTGCAAACATTCCAAGAAGAACATAATGGTAAAAAAAAAATTCAGAAGGCAGGTTTGAAATTTTAAGTCTGAAGTTTGAACCATCAGAAGTTAGACCCCTGAAAGAAAGTAACCACCTCCCCTCCCCAAACTCCCTCCTCCCCTGGCTGCCTCAACATCCCTGCACTTTCACCAACACCACCAGCTGCTGGATGACTTACCAAGGTAGGTAAGTGATAGGAAGACAGGTTTTTTTTTTTTTTTTTTTTTTTTTT